AGAGTAGACTACAATGCCGGCTGTTCTGACGCACAGCCTGTAAGTACGCTTTCATATTTAAAGAATTTGACACTGACGATTCAAACGCAAGTTTTGAGCAGTGTAAAGTAGCGTTTGTCATTTCTCCGATCACAAATGCAGACATGGTTTTATGTTTATGCGGCGCGATGCAACGCAACTCATAAAAAGACAGCATAAGTCATTATAATCCGTAATTAGGTCCCCACTGGATGCAACAAATGCCTTGTTTATAATGGGTTTTATTGTTTTTGTCTCGTCGCTCCGGCCCGGACACGGCATCACAGTATGGTAAGAGCGTAACATTTCCATCACAAGCTTGAGGTATTAGGCCAATCACAACGCACTGGATAGCTGGCCAATCAGAGCACACCTCGCTTTTCAGACCGATGAGCTTTGTAAAAATCTACGCATTTCAGAAAGGCGGGGCATAGAGGAGGAACAATAGTGTACAGTATGTGGAAAAGAATGTGTTTTTTTAACCTCAAACCGCATAAACACATTTCATTACACCAAATACTCAAAATAATGTTCTTTTTAGCAGCATCATATGACCCCTTTAAAATGATTCAAATCGAATCAAATCTGCAATTGGATTTAGCTGAAGCAGTCTAATCGATCGAATCAAAGGGAATCTAAATGATTTGAATGGGATTGGATTGAATGTAAAGGTTAAACACATCTTGCCATCTCATTGAAACTGGACTCGTATTAATAACACGTCTTGGTGTGTGACCGGCCGTTTATTATAGATATAGTCATCTTACCCTGACATGCTTAAAATACACTGGCTCTGCTTCATGTGCTCATGCGTGTGGGGTTCACTGCTCTATAGTGCAGGGATCAGCATCAGGCTTAAACACCTGCGGCTCTGTATTTACACCCAGCGTGTGATCCTGCTTTCATCCCTTCAGAGCAACAGACACCGATCAAGAGCAATGGAGAGGAAAGACTTTAAATCTCCTCACCTCAGATCCATCTATTTGTTCATCTGTTCCTTAACTAGTTCCCATGCACTTGCTTGGAGATACTAAATCTCACTGTTTCCAAACAGTTTAACTAATATAGTAACTTATTCAGCAAACACAAACCATTTCTAAAATCTTCAATTAGTAAATTAGATTAGTACAATATCAAATTTCATACTGTGTAGCTTTACAGCTTATTTCCAAGCATTTGGATACTAATTTCCACCTGCTGTTTTCACAGTGATGACGGGCATTTCAAAACCAACCCCAAAGTCCCAGGCATCGATTTCAATGCAGTTAGGCTGCTTTTTGAGACGCTGATGAAACCAGCCTTCGCAAGACTTTTGGATCAGGTGTGTGCGTTTGAAATGTTGGCTTCATCTCATCATTTATTTAGGTCTTTAAAGCACTGCATACTTGGAAGGCAGTAACTCTGCTGCAGACTTTATCAGGTTTCTAAAACATTCAAAGCCTTGTTTGTGTGTGTTACTGGGTGAAAGTTGGTATACTTGTTGGTATAACTCTAATCAGTCTGTAGGATTTCTTTCAGTGTTTCTCTAATGCTCACTAAGGTTGCATTATCTTTGAGCAAAAATTCTGTAAAACAGTAATATTGTGAAATATTATTACAATTGAAAGTAACTTTTCTCTATTTGAATATGTTTTAAAATGTAATTTATTTCTGTGATGCAAAGCTGAATTGTCAGCATCATTACTCCAGTCTTCAGTGTCACATGATTATTCAGAAATCATTCTAATATGCTGATTCGATGGTCAAAAATATCTGATTATTAAGAATGCAAAAAACTGCTTAATATTTTTGTGGATTTTTTTTTTTCCACGATTCTTTGACAAATAGAAAAATAAAAACAGCATTTATTTGAAATATTATAATTTTTTTAACACCTCTTTACAAAAACATATATAACAATTTTCAAAAATAGTTTTTTCATTGTGCATTCCAATTAATCTCAATCAAACTGTAGTTGGGTTATTTTGATTGGGTAAAAAAAAAATAACAAAAAGATACAGCTAACGAACACAATAAAACACAATAAAAACATGATATTTGAAAATTTCACACACACACACACACACACACACACACACATACATCGGTGGCTGACTAAATACTTTTTTTCCCCACTGTATATATATATATATATATATATATATATATATATATTGTGCTACCATATATTTTAAAACACACTCTATAAAATATATTTGTTATGATTTGATGCTGATTTCAAATGATCTTCCTCCTAGTGATGGCATACTCCATACTGTCCTCAGGAAAAAAAAATCTTGCTGACCTTACTGATCTTAGTCTGTTTAAGTGTATTTTTAATAATAAACAGCTCATAAATGTGTTCTTCTAGGCCACGAAGAGCTTTGAGAGTCTCCTGATCCCCCAGCTGACCTGCTCTCCTCCTGACGTGGAAGCCATGCGGATCTACCTGATCCTGTCTGAATGTCCCGCTCTCCAGGACTCCAAAAACTACATCTCTCTCACCATCCCTCTAGCCATGGCCATCCTCAGACTGGATGCCAACCCCAGCAAAGTCCTCGGTATGCACATATTCCACTGCCTAGCAACACCATTAGTTGCTTAGTTACAAAGTTGATCAGAGTTCAAGATCAAAAGGGCTTTTGAAATGAATCTTATTCTCGTTTCTCAGATAACTGGTGGTCTCTAATGGATTGCGAGTTTTTCTCCAGACTAGTGGAGATGTACAAAAGCATTGTTGTGTTTCTGTTGACTGGCGGGAAGGCGCTCCTGATGCCTGTGTTTCTGGAGAGTTACACCAGTGCCGCCCTTAGACTGCTGGAGAAGCTACACAAGGTACGGCGAAAATCCCCAAAACAGTTTAATAAGTAAATGATGAACTAATTAATAAGCTGAATATTCCCCAGCATCAGAGCTGAATTGCTATTTTTCTTCTGTTTTTGCAGACAAGGTTGTGTAATTTAGTTTGAGTTGTTAAGTGATAAACCAAGTGTTGATCCAAATATTTTGGTGCAGGTCAATCTGAAAGCCCATCGTGTGGAATACAACCACTTCTACATCCCTGACATCGCCACCCTGGTGGACATACAGGAAGACTACCTCAAATGGTTTCTGCGCAAAGCTGATATTGTGCGTATATCATTGCACATACGTAGATTTTCATGTCACTTTTCCTTTTGTAGATGGACTGCAAAAGCTATATGTTAATGTGAACATGAGCTAGACCCCATTGTGCATACAAAATGTCATAGTTACACAAAAAAGCCTCAAATTTTGATCATAGCAAGCTGAAAAATAACATAATTCCTTGTTTTGTCTTGTCGTAGAAAATGCGATACCCTCCAGTGCAGGTATGTTGGTTAAATAGCTCTTTGTAAATCTTTTTTGACAGTTGTGATGGTCTCAGCTTGATAATCTGAATCTTATTTCCCAGGGATCTGTCACGTTATGTGCCTATCCGTTCATATTGAACGCGCAAGCCAAGACGACCGTGCTGCAAACAGATGCTGAGCTGCAAATGCAGGTAAAAAACAATTTTTGAAAAATGATTACATTTTAAAGTAACTGTTCTCTGTTAGAATATATTTTTAAATGTAATTGAATCCTGTGATATAAAGCTGAATTTTCAGCATCATTACTCCAGTCTTCAGTGTCACATGATCCTTCAGAAATCGTTCTGATATGCAGATTTGCTGCTCTGAAACATTGCTTATTATCAATCTTGAAAACAGTTATGCTGCTTAATGTTTTTGAGGAAATTGCGATACATTTCTGTTAGGATTCTCTGATTAATAGAAAGTTAAAAAAAACAGCATTTATTTAAAATATAATTTTTGTGAGAGTCTGTACTATTCAGTTTGATAAATTGAATGCATCCTTACTGAATAAAAATATTAATTTCTTTCAGAAAATATATTAATAGGAAGTAAAGGAGAACATATTGCATTAGTCCATGGTACAGCCTGGCAAAATCATGATTTGCTGTTGGTTTCAGAGTGGATACAGCGAAAATGCTCTGCCTGCTGTGAAATTGCTATGATTTATGATTCTTGAATCTTATTATTCAGCCTCTTTGACTAGTTTTGCCTGCTTGATTCCTGTTCAGATGGCAGTAAGTGGCGCTAACTTGCACAACGTCTTCATGCTGTTGACTATGGAACCTTTGCTGGCAAGAAACCCTTTCCTGGTGCTTCACGTAAGAAGGAACCACTTAGTCAGCGATGCTCTCCGGGAGCTCACAGTCTACAATGACGTAGACTTGAAAAAGCCACTTAAGGTTTGCCTTTATCATCCCAACGCCAGACTGTTGTCTGGTCCATATTGTAGCATATTTTGGCCAAGACTGCCCACTTAGACAATAAGTTGACAAACAGAGATTTACTGATCATTGCAGGTCATCTTTGATGGAGAGGAAGCTGTGGATGCTGGAGGAGTCACTAAGGAGTTCTTCCTGCTCCTGCTTAAAGAGCTGATTGATCCGATCTATGGCATGTTCACCCAATATTCAGAGTCCAATCTGCTGTGGTTCTCTGATAAAGTGAGTTCAGCTTAGTTATTATCACAAAATTCAACATAATACTAAGATAATGTAAAAGATTTATAGTAAATGTGATAAAAGGATATAATTTGAATGCAAAACAATATTTAATTGCATATGCATATGCTCCAGTCTTAATGTTAGTTGCAATGTTTGATAGGAAGAGCCTGAAGGATGAATTGTATTTGTCCTTCATAGCTGTTGTTCACACGTAACAATGCAGTGATGCAGTGATGACGGTGATTTTGTAGGCCAGCCAGGCTGGTTCCCTCTACAAAAACCCAATAGGATTTTTCCATTGGATTATTGCAGAAAATAAGCTCTGTGACCAACAAAAGTTTATGATTCTTACAAGTGTTTTTCATCATGGTAATCTTTACAAATTAACACAACTCTTATGAATTTTGAAGCCTAAGTACAAGTAAAAAAGCTAAATGTACAAACCACACCATGGTCACATGATTTCAACATAACCACCATTAAACATCCAATAGCTTTTCCAGTCTTTAATTAAAAACATTTTCCCTGAAAGTTTGAGTTGGAATAATTTGTAGGATCGCCATTATAAACACAAATAAGTCAGTTAAAGCAACTAGTGAGTAGATGAGTTTACCTGTTCAGTGTAAGGACCGTTTAATGTCCCCGACAATCTTTATAGACTAGGGCCCTATGAAATCCATTATTGTTTCCCAAATTCAGTTTTATTTTTTTCCAAATGTAGTTTTTTCTGCTTAAATTTTTCTGGATTCTGTTTTTCCATTTTTATTTTTCTATACTCTGTTTTAATGGTTAAATTAAATTGTATTCATCAAAAAGCTTGTCTAATTAATTGAAATCATGAAGCTTACAATATTAAACAGCAATTGAGACTTGTTATAGCACTTGCATATCATTGCTCTTTTGTTGATTTTGATTGCTTCCATTGTCCTCATTTGTAAGTCGCTTTGGATAAAAGCATCTGCTAAATGACTAAATGTAAATCTCTAATTAATTGATTTTATTAAAAATAATAATAATAATAATTGTATTAGTTCAAATTAAGCCCTATCTTTATCTAAACTTGTACCACTTAGCCCTTGTAGGCAACATTTTGTTGTTTTTCCACCAAAAGCCATCACTCGCTAATCAAATCAGCTCGGCCTCCCACAGACGCGCTGCAGACCACTGTATCACAGCCCTCGTTAGACCAAATCAATGGATTTCCTGTCACCCCCGAGGCTTTACTGAGAAATCGAAGTCCTAAACGGACTGCACAGACCAATGAAGAGGAACTGTTTTGTCTAATTATTCGCCCTACGTTCAGTGTTCTTTGCCACTGCGTTACATAAACAGGTTGTTTTTTTTATATAACATTAATTAAAAGCCACCCAAAAAGCTTTTTGTGAGTCACCATCAGACCACTAATTGTTTGCAGAAGCAGACAAGCCATCCCAGAGTTGATGGCTGGTTCAAGTCTGTAATCGTGTTTACGGCTTGCGGCTTCAAGGCTGTTCCCCACGCAGTTTTTGAGTCATGTTATCTTATGAAAGCAGCCATCAGCAGACCTTGACCTAGCAATTATAACTTTCTTAAGACCAGCATCAGCAAATATTGCACAGCCGCCCATGGTAGATGATTTAATTGTGTGCTAATGCGTTTAAAAGGATCAAGGGTTAATTGGTTTCCACTCAGTTAGATGTGTTTGACACATTGTTGGATTCATTCATGGACCGTTTTAATCTGATCAACAGCTCAGGAACAAATACAAAGATTTACAGCAACATCAAATTGAAAAGGATACTCAGCTTCTACTTTATTTGACTTTAAGATAACCTATGCCAAGTACACAAATACAGACTAGGGTTGTTATAATTTCGAATTTTGATATGTCTATTATTTATATATGTATGTGTTTATTTTTTTAGTCCTTTTAATTTATTTTTATATATATATATATGTTATGTTTATATATTAAATATATTAAAAAAAATGGTGTATATTTATTATATATACATAATAAATATACACAATACACACACTTATTATGTAAACAAAACCTTTTATTTTGGATGCGATTAATC